AGATATTATAATTTTAACAGAGATTTGGATTGATACAAGCGAGGTAAATTTCTACAGCCTACCTAATTATTCAATGTTTGTAAAATGTAACTCTAATCAAAGATCAGGTGGAGTAGTTGTATTTGTGACTGATAAGATAAAAGCTATCCAGTTGGACAGCACAAATATGATAACAGCTGATTGTGTGCATTTAAAAATATCCTCAATCGCCAATAATTCCTTTGAAATATTGGCGATTTATAGATTACATGAATTCGCCGCGGACAAATTCGTTGATGAATTAGATACAATACTAGCATTAATTAAAACCGCTAACTTAATGATAAATGGAGATATTAATATTAACATTATTGATAAATCAATTTTATGTGATAAATACCTAATTAGAATGGCCAGTCATGGTCTAAAGTCACTAATCAATGAGCCCACCAGGGTTACAAAGCTAACAAAAACATGTATTGACCATGTCTTTTTACGAAGTAAACTTAGCAGAAATTTCATTTGTGAAGCCCAAGTAATCAAAACATGTATAACCGATCATTGGTCAACTGTAGCTTGTATGAGGTACAATAAACCGGTTCAAGTTAAGGAAAATAGTAAAACCAAACAATTTTCAAAACTGGACATTGCACATTTGAAAACAGTTGTAAACAAAACAGATTGGAGTTCGGTCTTTTCAACAAATTCAGCTTCGACTTCCTTTGATTATTTTTCACATAAACTACAACATTGCATTAATGAGTCCTATATACCCCCGCCGCAGCAAACCTGCAGACTAAGCGAATTTCCATTTGACTGATTTGATTTACACTGAAATGTCTACTTAAAAATATAACCTTTAATCACGATTTAAATAGAATTAGTTTAACAAGTACTTAGGTTTGCTGCATCAGGGAGGTAAAACTGTTTTTTTTTTATGTTAATAGTTAGTAAGAAATAAAAACATTTTCCAAATCAAAATATGTTCATAAACAAGCAAACTACAACAGTTTACTTATTCTCCATAAGAATAACATGGGAATTTTAAATTTACAATTTTTTGGAATTTTCTCCGTAACCATTAGGCGCATAATAACACTTCAATATACTAAATTATTTGTTTTTTTAAGCTCTACAAAATGGTTCGGAAAGAAATTGCTAAATTTTATGTTTTTTGGGTCTAAAATGCGAAAAACCTATTTTTACCCCATAAAACCCCCCGTAAACCCCCGTTCCCATGGTCCGATCATGCTGGATCGCGAACTCGTTCGAATAAACGTAGGTTTACACGTTTGTACCAAATTTCATCAAAATCGGATCATTTTTGCTCGAGTTATCGTGCTAACGGACACACATATATATATATATAAATATATAAATATATAAATATATAAATATATAAATATATATATATATAAATATATAAATATATAAATATATAAATATATAAATATATAAATATATAAATATATAAATATATAAATATATAAATATATAAATATATAAATATATAAATATATAAATATATATATATATGAATTTGAACGGATGGTGTTTTTGCCCTCTAGGGACCTCGAAACGAAAAAAAAAAATCGGTCCCGCGTCCGGGTCTTACCATGAGTACTACGGTAATAGCTTATTCTATATGGGAAATTCGCTAAAAATTATAAACATAAAATCAAACTTTAAAAACCCTTGGATGAATGCAACTATAAAACATAATATTAAAATTAAAAACAAATTTTATAGAGATTTCTTGAAAAAACCAAATGACCCAACATTAGAACAGAGATACAAACATTTTAAGAATTTAGTTATAAACCAAATAAGATATGCGAAAAATAAGTACTTTTCACCCCAGTTAGAAAATAACATGAAAAATAGTAAAAACCAATGGAATTTGATAAAAGAGTTAACAGGTGCAAAGCATAAAGGTAGTACCCCAATTGTACTAAAAAATTTAATGAAATCGGGCAATTGATTGACAACCCCGTTGAGGTTACGAATACCTTAAATAACTTTTTTTGCTCAGTGGCTGATGACTTGAGGAACGAAATCTTGTTCGATAAGGCAAACATCAATCGTGCATTTGACCCTTACAGGAATACCTTTGAAAGGACCTCAACTAAAGATTCAATTTTTCTTTATCCAACGTGCGAGGAGGAAATAATGAAAATTATAAATTCATTAAATGATAACAAAGCACCAGGTTATGACAATTTAACTCTTAATATAATAAAAACTATAGCTAATTCCATTGTACATGTTTTAGCCTACATTTTTAATTTAAGCTTAGCAGCTGGGGAATTTCCAGTTAAATTGAAAAAAACAGTCGTTACACCTTTATATAAAAAGAATGATAGATATAATCCAAGTAATTATCGACCAATAGCCCTCTTAGCAATTTTCTCAAAAATACTCGAAAAAATAGTAAAAGTTAGGTTGGTAAATTTTTTAACTAAGCATCAATTCTTTAGCAAAAAGCAATTTGGATTCCAAAGCAAATTAAACACTTGTTCTGCTCTTATTGAGTATATGTCGGATATTTACACAAATGTTAATAATGGTAAAGTCTGTGGAGGTATTTTCGTAGACCTGATGAAGGCATTCGATATGGTAGACCATGGAATTCTGTTGGAAAGGATGTATCATGCTGGAATAAGGGGAGTTGCTCTAAAATGGTTCCGTTCCTACCTGTCAGGACGAAGCCAAACCACAAGGGCAAATAATTGTGTTAGTGAGGAAGGTCGGGTAAAACTTGGCATACCACAAGGCTCAGTTTTGTCCGGTCCCTTGTTTCTGATTTTTATCAATGACCTTTGTAACGGCAACTTTAAAGGTAATTTAGTTGCTTTCGCTGACGATACAGCTCTGTCATACGAAGCAAACTCATTATGTGAGTTAAAACTAAAATGCAACATGACGTGAATGCTCTGAGATGGTGGTTTACATCAAATTTAATGGTCATGAGGCCAAAAACCAAATATATCATATTCAACCTAACAAAACATACACACTTTGCAAAATCCCTGAAATATCACAACGTAACATGCCCTACAAGTTTTAACATTTGTAACTGTCAAGACCTTGAGCAAGTAGGAAGCATAAAGTATTTAGGCTTATACGTGGACAGCCAACTTAATTGGAAAGAACATATTTCATACTTAAAACTAAAATTAGTAAAATACATCCGTATATTCTACATGCTCAGAAGCGTATGTTATATACAGCTTCTTAGATCAATTTATTTCGCATTCATAAATTCAAAAATTGAATATGGCATAGAAATCTGGGGTGGGACATATTTTACCACATTAAAACCAATAATCACACTACAAAAAGCCTTCGTCAGAATAATACTAAACGAAACAAAAACCAAACCTTCTCTACCTCTTTTCCAAAGTTTAAACATTTTGCCCTTTAGAAACTTATACGTTTTTAAGGTTTTAAGAGTTTTTGTTAATAGATGTGATACAAACAGAATGAACCAGGGCAATATCACATTAAGGAACGTGGGTAAAATGTATGTTCCGCGACCCAATTTATCCCATTTCAATAAATATTTTTTGTACTTAGCACCAACGTTTTATAATCTACTTCCAAACTATATTAAAGAGTGTAAAAACAAGAACCAATTCAATAAAATTATACGTAACTACTTACTTAACCATAATGACATTAATCAATTTTTTACTACTCTAATATAAAGACATAGTGTTTTCCTTTGATAGTTATAGTCTTAGTTATAGTTTGTTAAACAATGCCTAATACTTTAATAAGACGTAAGAATTAAGGAAGTTAATATTGTTTCATGTGAAGAAGCTACGTTTATGTTATTTTTAAATATTGTGTAGTATAACTGTGGTACTGATCCGGCCAGGCACTCTCTACCCTACTACTGAGTTTGTGTAAGATTCAAATATAGATCCCGCACAGGTTTATAACCTCAGGGCTTTATTGCTCTATGATTCTCTTTATTATTATATCCCATGTTTTAAACAGTTTAGGTTTAAAAAATTTTGTGTAAGTTCATAGGCATATTTGTATAAATACTATAACCAGAATTGTGTTCAATACTATTGTGATTGTTTACAATAACTGTATATTATGTACATTGAGCAATAAAGAATTTTTCTATTCTAAAAAAAAAATCTATTCTATAATGTGCAACTCGAGTGCAAAGTGCAATCGCCTCACTCGAGAAACCATTCCTCGTGAGTAAGGATTTCTCCCGAGTAAGGCAATTGCTCACTTTGCTCACTAGTTGCACAAAAAATTATTTTTATATTTCTCTTGCAAAGTTCAAACAATTGATTAGGGAAAATATCCTACAGTATTCCATGTATTACATGGATAACAGATCTTTTATAAATCCAATTTAATCTGATAGTCTTGATATTTTATTCATGAATAGTACAATGCTATTTACGGTTGAGCCTTAATTGGATGTAATTTAACATATCTATGCATTTAAATGATAAATGAATGTGCATGAGGATGCGTTGTTGGTATATAGCTTTGTTACTGTCTAAGATCAGCTATACTTTAGCGATAACAAGTTTATTTAAAGCCAAAATAATCTCATTGACAGCTAGGTAGGTACAGTTTATTCAATAATATCGAGTTACCGTACAGTTTAAATAATAATATTAATATCGAGCTAAAAAACACTCTAGCAATAATAATACAAGTTATTATAACATAATTCTAGCTACTTGTGTTGAGTCACCTGAGACACTGAAGGCTCTAAAGTAGCGTTGGTAGACTCCCTTGCACACCTGATGTAAGGCAGAGACGGGGTAACGTCCACACCAGTGATGTGGGAAGATTATTATAACATAACTCTATAGCTACCTAGCTACATATGTTGAATCACCTGAGACACTGAAGGCTCTAAAGTAGCGTTGGTAGACTCCCTCGCACACCTCTTGTAAGGCAGAGACGGGGTAACGTCCACACCAGTGACGTGGGAAGATGATTATAACATAACTCTAGCTACCTAGTTACTTGTATTTATTCACCTGAGACACTGAAGGCTCTAAAGTAGCGTTGGTAGACTCCCTTGCACGCCTGATGTAAGGCAGAGACGAGGTAACGTCCACACCAGTGACGTGGGAAGTCCTGTACTAGATCTGAGCTACTGTTGCTGTTGTGTGTACACAGTACAGCTAGTATTGCGGCTGTCAGTATCACCATCCCTGTAAACACACTGTCTTGTAGCCCCAACTTGGATAATTTGAAATATCTTTATCAGTTAGATTATCTTGATGTTATGTATTTTTGTAATGACTATTCCCTACATTTTTGACTAGTCTTAAACGTTGTACGACTTGTAAAGTGTAGAGTTTATGACAAACTCTTTAGTTGAGGTACTTCTCTCAACTATAAATAAATGTTTTCTTCCCTGAGAGAGCTATCCTGTTTTTGTTTTCTGGACCGGTAGACGCTACGGTGAAGCCCTGTGTCACGACTTATCACTTAGCTCAAAGCCATTGGCGATTTGTGGTATTTGAACTCCGATATATATAGGACAGAAATCTTTCAATCTAATTTCCAGAACAAACGCCCCCCCTTAAAGTAAATTATTGTGTATTTGTAGTTACTTTATATGACTGTAAGGCCAAAGCTGATCTAGATATTTGTTTAAAACAAAAAAATAACCATCAAAGCCTAGGTTCAAATCCCACCATTGACAAAATACGGTTCGGTTTTTTATAACGTCATGTGGTTCAAATTACTCCTCGATTTGTAAGCACACCTATCAAGAAAAAACGAATGTCCTCGTTGACAAGGAGCACTGACTCAATATTGAACATCCTTTTCCAACTCAATTATCACGAATTTTAGTTTAATTCTCGTATTTTAATATTCAACAGTATTCCAATTAATATTTTACTAGGGATCCCACCCGTTATCCAGGCATTTTAATAATGCAAAATTGGCATAAGGGTAGTTTGTAGTTTTCTAAATCGGGATATATTTGGGATTAAGTTTGGTAAAAAACTAGGATTATCTACTCACCCATTTTAAAGTCTTTTATAACTTTTTTCAAATTCCCACGTAAAAAATGTATAGCTTTTTTCAAGCAAGTACACTTAACGAGTGTAACAACTAATTATTTTGGTTACAGTTGCGCCTCCCACTTCCCTCCAATGTCTATTTGATAATCTATATCGTTATCATGATTTTTAAGTGTTAGCAATCTGTAGGATCTCTGCCCAAGGACAAATTTATGCATTTCTGTTAAGTCCCAAATTAATGTTAAGTCCCGAACTGCACCTTACCAGAAGTTAAAGATTTGAACATACACCGGATTACGACTAGATTACAACCGAACTAGTAGCTTGCGTTGGCTTACTGCACGTGTACAGTGGACATGACTGTGATAGATATGTACTAACAGCTGAGATCAGGTAAATGTTAACGCTGACAACACTGTTGGCAGGTCACTTATGCAACTTACGCAGTAAAACGTTGATATTGACTCGATTATATTAATGCCACTGATCACTGCTATAATGCCGAGTCGGCCTTCACAATAGATTGTCAAATAAAGTTGAACAAAAGATAAATAAATCCTATTTATATCGACATTTTAAAAACGTACGATAATGATACTTGTACTTTTAGTGAATTTCCCATATAGGGAATATTAGCTATTACAGTAGGTCTCATGGTAAGACATAGTCCCGGTACCGATTATATTTTTCGTTTTGAGGTCCCCAGAGGCCAAAAACACAATCCGTTCAAATTCATAAAGGGACTACAGTATATGTCCGTTGGTGCGATAACTCGAGCAAAAATGATCAAGTTTTGATGAAAATTGGTACAAACGTGTAAACCTACGTTTGTTCGAGCGAGTTCGCGAACCAGCAGAATTGGACTATGGGAAGGGTGGTTTATGGGGTAAAAATTGATTTTTCCCATTTCGACCCTAAAAACACAAAATTTCTCTTCAAACCATTTTCTAGAGCTTAGAAAAAGAAATAATTTTGAATATTGAAGCGTTGTTGTATGCCTAACGGTTACGGAGAAAATTAAAACAAAATTTAAATTAAAAATTCTCACTTTATTCTTGTGGAGAATAAATAAACTGTTGTAGTTTGCTTGTTTATGGATAGCTATATTGTAATCAAATTTGGCAATTTTGTTTATTTCATAATAAGCAATCTATCAACCTAAACTCACAAACCTAAGTACTCACAAAAATTGATGTTATTTATATAGGAAATAAATCCGACATTTTTTAGAGAATATTTTAGTAGAAATCAAGCTCGGTAAATGGAAATTATCTTAGTCTGCAGGTTTTCTGTGGCAGGGGTATTATGAGTAAAAGTTAGCATTTATAATGTCACAACTTAAACCCAAAGAGTAGACATGGTATGTGACTTGTTTTGTGCCAAATTCAACATATGGCAAAAGACAATTTGGTATTTGATCCAAATCCAAATTTGATCCAATTTGGTATTTCGTTATGTAGTCCAAATTACTTCTCGATTTGTAAGCACAACTATCAAGTAAAAATAAGAATGTCCTCGTTGACAAGGGAACTGACTCAATTTTGAAAATCCCTTTCCACAAAAGTAGATTCAATCATCAATGCTCGTATCCTAACCATCCAATCCCTTGGTATATTCCTGTATAAAATGTTATTTGTTGACAGTTAAAATTCCTCTCAATAACTGAGTCAACATTAGATACAACGCTAGATATAGACATTGACGTGGACTAGATAAACACTGAAACGTGTTGTTGTGTTGTTTGAAAATGGAAAAATATCCATCACCATTCAACCACTTAGTTGACGTTTATTTCAAACTATAAGTTCATGAAAGCTACAATTTTACATTTTAGTGCGACATAACGAAACTTAAGAATACATTTAATCCACATATTCTATCAGTCAAATCAAGACCAAAGCCACCTTATAGTATTACTCATAAACAATTTTGTCGCCTTTAGCTAGTTTAAAACTCTGGAAGAAATCAAATTATTGATTGAAAAATCATTAACCAAAGCAAACAAAGAAACTGTATTATTCGGACAAAAGATATGGTGTACAGGGAAATATATCCTGACACATAGATAATTTTATTCTAGTTCGTTTAAATATTACAATGATTTGTTATATATTTTTGTGTTTTAGAGACTCCTGTCCTTACAAGCCACTAGTTTACATTAATGATTAATGATCTCAAGGTTTACGCTGTTTAGATATCGGGGTGAATTGAATGCAAATTGTACATAATAGAAATTCTCCCTTGAGTGGACGTGGAAATTGAAGTGACTGTTGGTGGGAGGACGCTCAAGGAGACATCACGGTCAACTTTTTATCTTATAAAGAGGGCAAGAGGGCGTAGTAATTACAACAGGGAGGTGTTCATTTTAGTAGAGCATCGAAAAGGAATCGATCATAGCATCTGGCTACTGCCTTCGATATAAGAAGTAAACCAAAGGACCTATGCTGCTCCACAGAGTTGAAATAAATATAATATAGATGGCAACAACTGACGTAATTTGATTATATCTATCCATCTATACTATCTATTGTGATTGTGTGTGTGTGTGTGTGTGTGTGTATGATTATATCTATACTATCTATTGTAAAGAAGAGGTGGTGTCTGTCTGTCTGTGTGTTTGTATGAGCTCATTTAAAAAACTACTGAACCGACTGGGCTCAAATTGCACACAAATTAAGCTACAGCTCCGAGGATACATATATAACTATTCCCGCTTCGATATTAACTTAAAATATTAACTGACAACTTTCATTTCCCAGACATAATTTTTTTGGAAATAAACCATACAAATACAATAGGCTTTTATAAACATTTTGGAAAAAATAAAATCATTAAGTAATGTATTATGCCAAGGCCCCACTAGAAAAATGCACTTAAAAATAAAACTCCTTATTCACATACTATAAAAAATTATTTATTAAATTAAAAACATAAACATATCCGTAAACAATCCTACTTTGACAGTTCTAATTTTGTATCACAGCTGCTTGGTTGAAATTAGCAACTGTTATCATAAATTTAGACAATTAATAGTGCTGCACCCTTTTGTTCCATTTGTTGTTTATATTTCGTTGTTATTTCGTCACCAGCATAGCAACCCATAATGCCCATGTTAATCTTTTTAAATTTCAAGTTCATTTTTTGTGCTTATATTTGAGCCTATTAAAATTTTTAAAGGGATTCTGCACATCTACAGGAAAATATCATACTAACAGTATGCGTAGATTTTCCCTGCGATACACACGAGATGAGAAAAAAGGTTTTAAAGAAACATCAAACATGCTTGCCTATTAATATATAGATAGATTGATATTAAAATAATCATTTCCTACAGCTATTCTGGCATTTGTAACAGTAAACTGTATTCAACTTTTGCTATTACAGAGTAAACTTTCTTGTGCTGAAATGTGAAACGTTACAACAAAAAAAACTTCTAAATGAAGTATAATAATCATTTGTTTTATGAACATTGTGACAAAGGTGTACTGAGGGGAAGGGGGTGAGACTAGGATTGTGTTCAAGTGACATGTTAAACAAATAGTAACAAACTATCAACACAGGCTGCAGGGGCGTCATTTGGTCCCTAGGTTAGAGAAAAGAATACAGTATGCTGTCATAACTTTTTACATTTAAAATAAGCTTAACCCCTTCTTTTTTTGTTTCAAAACTGCTCCCCCCATTTTGGTAGGGGATATTCCATTCCCCCCTGTCTCCTCCCCAAGGATTTGGTCAAATTATGGCACTAACAGGCTGCATACACTATGTGGTTACGATAGTTAGTTTCTGATTTAAAGATCATCGACAGAATGATTATCATTTGCTTCAGAACGTAGGGGAAAGATATGTTTCTGACTTGATTTTATCTGTCTGGACATCGCCTAGTGTTACATATCTTTCGCACACTCTCAAAGGGAAATAAATAATGAGCATTCTCATAAATATTTTTGTATTTACAAATGAGTTTCGGTGTGTACAATGTTACAAGAGGACTAACGCATAACTCCAGGGTGGTGCTAGATCCTGGATACCTTGCAGTAAGTAGCGAGCTCCTCGATGGTGCAGGAGTTGTGACAACACTCGTCGACAACCCCTCGCCTGTGCCTGGTGAAGCTCCTGGGGACGAGCCGCAGCGCCGACCTGCGGGTGCGGAACACACCTACTGGCTCCTCGTCGTCTGCTACACAAAATATGACATAACAATGATTGGTCTACGGTAGGAATCATAAACACAAATAAACTTAATAACAAAACTGACCTATTAGCTTACTAACAACCCTTGTATTAGATAAGCTGTGAGAGTAGCTATGGTATTCTAAGGGAAAAATCACCAAAATTGCGATAAGCTTTGAAACGTAATTTTTACAGCATTAGGGGATGTACAATTTGGTTTAGAGTTAAAAGGACCATGATATAACAAATTTAACCCCCGTCGCAGCAATCCTGCCGACTGAGCGAATATCCATTTTTCTGAATCGATTTTCAATTCAATCTATTTAAATAACATTAGGTTAACGAGTACCTAGGTTTGCTGCTACAAGGAATCTAATAGTGTGTTTTTTTAGTAAAATATTAATAGTTTAGTATAAAAAATTCTAAGTTTGATCAAAATATATCCATAAACAAGCAAACTACTTCATATTTTACAATATTCTCCATAAAAATAACATGGAAATTTTTAATTTAGAATTTCTTTAATTTTCTTCGTTAACCAATAACCGTACAAAAACACTTTGACATACTGTACTAAATTATTTGTTGAGCGGAGCGAGCGAAGCGAGCGAAGCTCTTATACTACACTCCTGCTTTTTTATTACAAATACTCCTCCTGAACGGCTGAAGCGATCTGCATGAAATTTAACACAGTCATAGTAACCAACCATGGGAAGGTATAAATCTGAAACGGTACAAATCGGACCATAGGACTTTTCCCTACATGAATGCAAACTTTTGGAAATTTAACATGGGCCTTATGGGTTAATTGGTCGCCATGTCATTATTTGCGAGTAAACACTAAAAAGTAAACAAGAGCCTCAACATTAGTCAACAAATCTACCACATGATAAATACAGTACAAAAGAAAAAATTGGATAATACTAAAGAGCATATTATAGTATATTGTATGTAATACTAAATGATTAACAATCAGTTCTATATTGAGTGATTAAACTCCATGCCGTTTATATTTAATTGTAAAATGGTTCTGTTCTTTTTAACAACAATGAATAGTTAACTAATTAGGCCTAAGTTTATGTTGCTTGGAGAAGGAGAAGATAAAACGAGGTCATTAAAAAAACACTACAACATAATTATACCAACAAAAATCACACCGCCCTTGATTTGCAAGAAACTTTGTAAAAAATGTTCTTGTAGCTAAAAATACAAAATCGTTTTACGAAATGAAATCACAACCACGTGGTTTACAGGTAAGGTTTAAGACTAAATGGTGTAACTTAGACAATAAAATAGTTGTATTGATAAATTTTATTGCACAATAGGGAAATTTTGAAAGTGGTTGACGACAATTTCTTACTTTTAACTGCTAAAATAAAACTAGACCTAAGTTATAGGCCTATACTAAGTGAGGCTAACCCCAATCCCTCACAACAATAATACTGGTAAACAGTTATTTGAGGTAATTGAATTGGTGAATTTTATGAATGTTCAATGCAAATAAGTCTTCTGTACAAATAAATGATTCTTTTTTTAATAATGAAGAAAGAAGACATTGAAAAAAAAATAAAGAAAAGCAAATTCTACATACAATGGGTAATAATAATATAATAATAATCGTTATTGCCTTTTAATAATACAGGTATTGCTTAGGCCTACCATGATTCATTTGCAGTATCGAAATTATTGAGCGGAGTGAAGCGAAGCTCTTATACTACACTCACTGCCTTTGTTTTACAAATACAGTTCAGGCTCCACCTGACAGGCTTAAGCGATCTGCAGGAAATTTGGCACAGTCATGTAACCAACCATATGGGAAGGTATAAATCTGAAATGGTAATATTCGGACCACAGGACTTAAACCAATAATAAGGGTTGCCGGAATTAGGCTGATGCACCATATTGCGTTTGGAATCTGTAAATAACTTACAGCATTTTATGTGAGCAAGACGTGCAATTAATGTAGACTTTGAATATCTATCTGATTGGAACATGTTCAATTCCTATTTGCAGTCTACAAATAGGAATTCCACTAATGTGAACCAAATATAACACAATTCGTTGACTTGAACCCGACGTATCATTGACTTTGAATACTGCACATAGACATCCCATATAAGTGAAGCAGAAGTAGGCCTAAGCCTACCATTGACTTCGGATACTGCAATTAGGCATTTTATTTATGTGAACAAAATAAATGGACCATTGATTTATTGAGGATACTGCAAGTAGACTATTCATTTACATGTACCATTGGGTTTGGATACTACAAGTAAACAATCCGTCTACGTGAACCATACGTACTATTGACTTTAGAATCTGTAAATAGGCATTCCATTTATGCGAACCAAATATATCATTGGCATTGGATACTGCAAGTAGACATTTAATTTATGAGAACCAGATGAAACATAGAATACGGTTCCTGCAAGTAGACGATTCATTCACTTAATCCTGACTTATGATTGACTTTGGATACCTCTGCAAATAGGCATTCTATTTAAAATGCAAAAAAATCATTGATATTGAATATGCTGGCTCCGCTCAATATTGCAAGCAGACAACTGCATTGTACACCTAGTTTATTTAAGCTCTTTAAAATGGCCTAGAGAGAGATTGGGAAATTTTGTGTTTTGACGATCAAAAATTTGAAAAACAAATTTTAACAGCCTATTGATATTTTACTAAAAAATACTCTTTATTAGTTTCCTTGTAGCAGCCAACCTAGGTACTCATTAAACCCAATTTTTTAAAAATACATTTAATTAAAAACTATTTAATACACATGGAAATTCGCTTGGTCGGCCGGTTTGCTGCGGCGGGGTGTATTTAACATTGAAACCGGTGATAACCGTTGTGCCTTATCAATGGTGATTGCGAAATCAAGACGCAAAGTGAATTGTAGTCGCTTGAATTCAAAGAGTAATTCGGATTAAATAATCGGTATTCTTGGGATTAAGACTATTTCCTCTTTGAACTTACCACTGATATTTATTTTGTTGATTCGATCGAGTTTCGTGTAATGTTTTAAATCGTCAGTCTGGTTCCGTTGCACAGCTTGGGTGAATTTAAGTTTCACGTTAGTATTATTGTAGTTCCTTCTTTAATGACAGAAAGTGTGGTGGCATTTCTGGTGGCTCTGTTGAGTTTAGAAATTCAATGGGATGGTTGACAACTTTTTCCTCATCCATTAATGTGTTATTCTACTAACTCTCCCGGCAATTTCAATTGAGTTGGTTGATTTAGCTTGTTAACATAATCATTTTAGGGGCCAAAATTACACGTTCGCAAATCCAATCTGGATCTTTGAAACTGGTTGATAAGTCTGGGAATGAATTTTCTACAACAGATTGAATTTTGGTTGCAGTATACAGAAGTTTGAAGAAAACGAAAACTCTTTTGTGGTTTGGTCTATTTCAATTTTGCCATTCCCAATGTCCAATAGCTGTTTAGAAAATGTTTATGCAATTGTTTATTTCAGTAAATATACAATATTGCTGGTGGGGGTTTGATTTTGTTAATACCAACCCGTATTAGAGGATGGGGAATAAAATTCAAAATCATGTTAAAAAGTGCGATCATGATCACGCGTACTGAAGGTTATTTGAAAATTTACATCCACGACAAAAATATAAGTGATGGAATGTCAAGTTTCAGTTAAATTAAAGTCTCAAATTTCTTGCCATAACTTTTTTTTTATTCGTCATATCAAAGTCGGATTTGTGGCATTAATTTTCTTTCTTGAGGCTCTTTAAAATGATGTGCTACTTGATAGGGGTTGCCGTTTAAAAATTGTAAGTTACCCCTAGCAACCCCAATTGAGGTGGGGGTGAATTTCAAAATACCACCAAAATAGTAATTTACGCAACGATTGCGTAAAGATAGTGTTAACAACACGAGTAGAAAATTTAAGGTAGGTACGAGCCTTGTCGAGTAACACTTTTTACGCGAGCTGCGTACTCTACTTTACCTACGACAGTGTTTTAATTACTAAAAATCCCTACTTATAACTTCTAAGAGATGTTATGTTTTCGTTTATAACCTCTCATTACCACTGGCAGTGATGCTACGAAACACTGTACCAAACACTAAATTACATAACTCAACAATTAAGTTGGCCTGAACAGCTGATTAGTGTTTAGAATCATTACAATTTTACTTCTTCTGTCTCAATCCTTGAACCTCATTGGTCCGTTACCCGTGTTGTTTTGAGTAAAACGGTAAAACTATGCTGTTATGAAAGTTCTGCCAAATTCTGCTATTCGCTTCATATTTTGCCTCAGAAAATTTGAACATATCTCTCCCTTCAGAGCCAGAGCTGTAGCGGGGATGATAATAGTAGACACTGTTTGTAGGACCATGACGTGTTGCATGGTGCACAAGGGTCTTGTCCTACAGGAGCCACAGTACCTCCTTGAGAGGCTCCCTTTCCAAGAGGAGGTCTCTGAGCGCAGTATTTGCCATGAAAGCTTCACTTTCCTGAGAGAGAGGCTTGAGTTTGAAAGGAGAAGCTTCTCGTACTACGGCCCAAAACTGTACAACGACCTTCCCTCTGGGCTCAAAAAATACGCGTTGTCATAATTTAGAATTAAGATCAAAGAATTGTACACTGATGGCTAATTATTGTTATTTATATTGTCTTGTTATTGGTCCATTTATTTGCATGTTAGTTTAATATTGTTATTGACGAAAGTTGTCGTGAGAAGCAGTAGTTGTACTGAGAAAAGCTTGATAAATAAAGACATTTTTATTTATTTAAAGTAAAGTACTTTACATTACCCTAGTAAAGTGTATCGAAGCTCGTTTGAATACATACCATGCATACATATATACCACACATATATACCATATATATCATACATATATGTATACCGTTCAAAAGTACACCAGGGGGATCTATTATGGGACACCCAGTATATAAACTTCAACGAATAGTGTTATTGGCCTCTAGGTGCATCAAAATGAAAATGTTTATCGGTCCCGTGTCCAGGTCTTACCGTGTCACCTACGTTAATAGCCCTGTAATAGCTACTTCCATAGTGAATTCGCTAAAATGACTCGGCTGGCTTGATTTTAAACAAATAATCGCAACTGTTTGTTTTTTTCTTTAAATGATATTTTTATTTGAATGATAGGAACCTAATATGTACTTTCGTACATCATTTTGAAATCGACGTAAGATGAATAAGCTGGATGAACGAGGTAAGCTTACATTTTGATTGAACATAGCACACCCAGAAGACTGACAAATGAATGGCAAGTTTGTCCACGTTTGGAGCTATACTTAGAACCCTGTCTGAGGTCCGTCAAGGGTTCAACTATTGATAAGAGAGAGTTACATCTATTGGTTCTCATGACAATATTTACACGACATTATATGTTCCATAATGTTTGCATTATTTTGACTGAAATGTGTTTTGACCTTCTTAATATAAGATTGAAATATTAAATACTATGGAAAGTGTTAAAGATCTATTCTCAAAACACTTTCCAAAATATTTCGGAACACTTTGCTATTATCTACATTGTAGCAATACAGTAATTATAGCAGCATGTTGTAGTGGACTAGTTTTATGCCTGCACTATTCCCTTTCAAATAAAATAGTGCTCACATCTTTAAAGTAATGGATGACTTTGTGAGTTTATTCAAGCATACTATACCTACCTAAAGCATTACTATCGAAATCCAATGGTGATGATCTCTTATTGTAGGTTTCGCAGACAAGTTCCAACGTGTTTACCAAGGCACTACCACAAAGACGCAAGGGCGCAGAAGCTGCAGAAAGTGTAGAGGTCTGCGCTGACTCAGAGACAGAACTGTGTAGAACAGCCAGCACCAGCGGCACGGCCAACATCTACACATTGATATTAGCATATAGAAAAATTCATATCAAAGAACTGACTAGAACAGCCAGAACCAGCGGCACGGCCAACATCTACAGATTGATATTAGCATATAGAAACATTCATATCAAAGAACTGTCTAAAACAGCCAGCACCAGTGGCACGGCCAACATCTACAGATTGATATTAGCATATAGAAAAATAGAAACATTCATATCAAAGAATTGTCTAGAGCAGCCAGCACCAGCGGCACGGCCAACATCTACACATTGATATTAGCATATAGAAACATTCATATCAAAGAACTGTCTAGAACAGCCAGCACCAGTGGCACGGCCAACATGTACAGATTGATATTAGCATATAGAAAAATAGAAACATTCATATCAAAGAACTGTCTAGAACAGCCAGCACCAGCGGCACGGCCAACATCTACACATTGATATTAACATATAGAAACATTCATATCAAAGAACTGTCTAGAACAGCCAGCACCAGCGGCACGGCCAACATCTACACATTGATATTAACATATAGAAATTATCAATTATCAATTATTTAAGATGGGGACGCCACTATGTGCGTATTTTAACCCAAATATGAGTGAAGGATGAGTGTAGGATGAGTGGCGCGATCTTGTAGTCTTGTTAGTGACTAAGGCCTACATGTTCCTTAGACACAGCTGTTAATTAATAGCCCATACAGCTAATGGCAACTAAGGGACCTACAGTTTATAGTGGAATCCGAACCACATTTTTCCTTGTAATTTTCGAATTGGTCTAATTATCAGGATAGTACTGCGGATAGTCGTAGTACTCACTAGTGCGGACGTTAATCCACACCAGTGAGCATCGCATCCACAGTGCATCCCTATAAATATCCACAAACATTCATATCAAAGAACTGTCTAGAACAGCCAGCACCAGCGGCACGGCCAACATCTACACATTGATATTAACATATAGAAACATTCATATCAAAAAACTGTCTAGAACAGCCAGCACCAGCGGCACGGCCAACATCTACAAATTGATATTAACATATAGAAACACTCATATCAAAGAACTGTCTAGAACAGCCAGAACCAGCGGCACGGCCAACATCTACACATTGATATTAGCATATAGAAACATTCATATCAAAGAACTGTCTAGAACAGCCAGAACCAGCGGCACGGCCAACATCTACAGATTGATATTAGCATATAGAAACATTCATATCAAAGAACTGTCTAGAACAGCCAGAACCAGCGGCACGGCCAACATCTACAGATTGATATTAGCATATAGAAACATTCATATCAAAGAACTGTCTAGAACAGCCAGCACCAGCGGCACGGCCAACATCTACACATTGATATTAGCATATAGAAGCATTCATATCAAAGAACTGTCTAGAGCAGCCAGCACCAGCGGCACGGCCAACATCTACACATTGATATTAGCATATAGAAACATTCATATCAAAGAACTGTCTAGAACAGCCAGCACCAATGGCACGGCCAACATGTACAGATTGATATTAGCATATAGAAAAATAGAAACATTCATATCAAAGAACTATCTAGAACAGCCAGCACCAGCGGCACGGCCAACATCTACACATTGATATTAACATATAGAAACATTCATATCAAAGAACTGTCTAGAACAGCCAGCACCAGCGGCACGGCCAACATCTACACATTGATATTAACATATAGAAATTATCAATTATCAATTATTTAAGATGGGGACGACACTATGTGCGTATTTTAACCCAAATATGAGTGAAGGATGAGTGTAGGATGAGTGGCGCGATCTTGTAGTCTTGTTAGTGACTAAGGCCGACATGTTCCTTAGACACAGCTGTTAATTAATAGCCCATACAGCTAATGGCAACTAAGGGACCTACAGTTTATAGTGGAATCCGAACCACATTTTTCCTTGTAATTTTCGAATTGGTCTAATTATCAGGATAGTACTGCGGATAGTCGTAGTACTCACTAGTGCGGACGTTAATCCACACCAGTGAGCATCGCATCCACAGTGCATCCCTATAAATATCCACAAACATTCATATCAAAGAACTGTCTAGAACAGCCAGCACCAGCGGCACGGCCAACATCTACACATTGATATTAACATATAGAAACATTCATATCAAAGAACTGTCTAGAACAGCCAGCACCAGCGGCACGGCCAACATCTACACATTGATATTAACATATAGAAACACTCATATCAAAGAACTGTCTAGAACAGCCAGAACCAGCGGCACGGCCAACATCTACACATTGATATTAGCATATAGAAACATTCATATCAAAGAACTGTCTAGAACAGCCAGAACCAGCGGCACGGCCAACATCTACAGATTGATATTAGCATATAGAAACATTCATATCAAAGAACTGTCTAGAACAGCCAGAACCAGCGGCACGGCCAACATCTACAGATTGATATTAGCATATAGAAACATTCATATCAAAGAACTGTCTAGAACAGCCAGCACCAGCGGCACGGCCAACATCTACACATTGATATTAGCATATAGAAACATTCATATCAAAGAACTGTCTAGAACAGCCAGAACCAGCGGCACGGCCAACATCTACAAATTGATATTAGCATATAGAAACATTCATATAAAGAACTGTCTAGAACAGCCAGCACCAGCGGCACGGCCAATATCTACACATTGATATTAACATATAGAAACACTCATATCAAAGAACTGTCTAGAACAGCCAGAACCAGCGGCACGGCCAACATCTACACACTGATATTAACATATAGAAACACTCATATCAAAGAACTGTCTAGAACAGCCAGAACCAGCGGCACGGCCAACATCTACACATTGATATTAACATATAGAAACATTCATATCAAAGAACATTCTAGAACAGCCAGCACCAGCGGCACGGCCAACATCTACACATTGATATTAACATATAGAAACACTCATATCAAAGAACTGTCTAGAACAGCCAGCACCAGTGCCACGGCCAACATCTACACATTGATATTAGCATATAGAAACATTCATATCAAAGAACTGTCTAGAACAGCCAGCACCAGCGGCACGGCCAACATCTACAGATTGATATTAGCATATAGAAACATTCATATCAAAGACCTGTCTAGAACAGCCAGCACCAGTGGCACGGCCAACATCTACAGATTGATATTAGCATATAGAAAAATAGAAACATTCATATCAAAGAACTGTCAAGAGCAGCCAGCACCAGCGGCATGACCAACATCTACACATTGATACTGGCATCTATATAGAAACGTTAATATCAGAAAACTGTCTAGAACAGACAGCACCACTAGCTGGACCATTGTCTAGGACAAAAAAAGCATTGTTTAGGACATATACACATTAATATTGGCATCTAGAAAACGGTTAACATCTACACATTGATATTCGCCCCGTGGTCGAAACTCGGCCAAAAGTATGTATTGTGCAAGCTTCTCTTTTTTAACCCCTACGATGTAAATAAAACATGTGATTAATATCTCTAACATTTGATTAGATTTTCTGTTATTATATTGTGTTGTTATTTCATAACCAACATTGCAACTCACAAGGTCCATGTTAAATTTCAGTTTAAAATTCATTTTTTTGTGCTTATTTTTATCCTATTTTAATTTATAAAGGGATTATGCACATTGCACATCTACAGGCAAATATCTTTCTAACAGTATGCGTAGATTTTCCCTGTGATGAAAACACACTCACTGAAAGCACAGGAGCACAGGAGCTGAGGAAAAAAGTGTTTTCAATAAACATGCTTTTCTATTAGTATACAGGGTGACAATTAAGTCTGTAATTTTTTTTTATTTTTAAACCACAAAAGAAATAAATACCACAGTTCACACGTGCTTGTGATAGTAACGCACACATTTTCCCAATTACCGACCGTATAATCCCTTTGGGGGACGGTCCACAAGGGGTCAGACAAAATTCTTTTCCTACAGCTACCTAACAATGTACATGTTCTCTCACTGATTTGAGAAAGCAAATTGGCCAATACCCTCATATTGTCTCACTCTAATTACTTTGTCTCACTCCAGATTTGCAACGTGAAGGCACGAAATAGTGAGCGCGTAACATGCTGAAAAGGTCGTATGCGAGCGAAATACGTTGGCAGCATTGGCTGTAAATCAGCTGGTCAGCTGTTGTATTGTCGTATCATTATGCCATAGTAAAAGTTCACTTCTGTGTAAAAATATGTTACGTTTCTTTACCAATTTATTTGTACATGGTATTTGGGTATTTGTAGTACATGGTAACTGTAGGAAAAATATAATGTGCAACTCGAGTGCAAAGTGCAATTTCCTCACTCGAGATACCATTCCTCGCTCGCCTACGGCTCGTGAGTAAGTACTGTATTTCTCTCGAGTGAGTCAATTGCTCACTTTGCTCACTAGTTGCACAAATAGCTATTAATAGCGGCATAGGTCGAGTTTGGTATCAAATTAAAGGTATCCGATATTGAAATACAACTAGTGTACATGTTGCTCGAATTCGAGCAATTGTAAAGTATTGCAGGATTTGTAAACCAATAACAATCATATTAAGCTATCAACATTTCAACAAAATCACACCTACCTTCCCTGTAGCAGCAAACCTAAGTAATCATATTAAAATTAACTCTTAGGCTTTAAAACATGACCATTTTCAGGGAATATCTTTGTAGAAATTAAGCCAGGTAAATGGGAATTCGCTTAGTCTGAAGGTTTGCTGCGGATACGCAATTTTAATAACAGCAATGATTGAAGAATCCGAATTATTACTTATATCCATGAATTTATCTAACAGTTATTTCCTGTAAAATATTATTACAGCAGCTCAAAAATATTGGAACAGACTCGGTCAACAAATTACCGAATGGTATAGTTACCATATGAAAGAATCCCATACTAATGACATTAACATAGTTCCATTTAATCAACTTTAAATGGGCGAGTGACACATTTTATTTATGTTTATGATCCATACCGTTCCTGTTCTAATAATC